AAACAGATATTTACATTATGATTTATAGCAGTAGCAAAGTTACAGTTATGAAGTAGCAACGAAAATAATTTTATGATTGAGGGTACCACAGCATGAGGAACTGTATTAGGAAGGTTGAGAACCACTGGTCTAAGCCTAACCTATTTACTATCTGATCCTTTCCAGAAAAAGTTTGCTGATTCTCTGATCTGAGCCAAGGGATCTTGAACTTCAGTGTATATTACAATTACTTGAAGGACTTAAAGCTATATCTACTATCAGGGTTTCTGATTCAGTGTTCTAATGAGGGCCCAAGAATTTGAATTTTGGATGCTTACTAATACTCCTTAAACTGCCTTATGTAGGCACTTACCGGTTCAAAATCTTCTGAGTTGGTAAATTTCCTCAGTCCAGATTCAGGTATAACCTAGCTCATACATTCATTTTTGGTTGTTTGTTTTTGAGACAGTGTTAAGTAGACCAGGCTGACTGTGGTGGTTTGAATAGATATGGCCCCCATGGACTCATGTGTTTCAATGTTTGGCCATAGGGAGTGTAACTATTAGGAGGTATGTGTTAGTTTTTGCAGCACTCTTACCATCACAAAACATGACAGAATCCACTAAGAAGAGTTTTAGCAAGATAAGGGAGAGGGACAGATGTGCACAGGCCTGCAGAAAGATACATGAATGAAGTGGAACTGGGAATCATGGTGCCAGCTTATAAAGGCTGGGCCGCACTTGCGCACACAGGCCCATGTAACTATTCCATGCAACCATGTGTAGATCACATGGTTGTGCTGCGCGCTTTACACAACCATGCAAAGCCACGGGGTCCTGGTCACGCAAGACATTTTGACCCAGAAATGACTAGGCAGAAGTGACTAGGTCCTGCGTGACCATGTCCAACCGTGGGGGCGTGTTGTGAATCCATATCAGTGTGGCCTTGTTGGAAAAAGTGTGTCACTGTGGAGGTGGGCTTTGAAGTCTCATATATGCTCAGGCTACACCCAGTGACACAGTTGCTTCTGCTGCCTGCAGATCAAGATGTAGAACTCTCAGCTCCTTCTCCAGCATCGTGTCTGCCTGTATGCCCCCATGAAGATAATGGACTAAACCTTTGAAACTGTAAGCCAGCCCCAATTAAAAGCTTTCCTTGCCAGGCGGTGGTGGCGCACGCCTTTAATCCCAGCACTTGGGAGACAGAGGCAGGTGGATCTCTGTGAGTTCGAGGCCAGCCTGGTCTACAGAGTGAGTTCCAGGACAGGCTTCAAAGCTACACAGAGAAACCCTGTCTTGAAAAACCAAAAAAAAAAAAAAAAAAAAAAAAAAAAAAAAAAAAAAAAAAAGAAAAGAAAAAGCTTTCCTTTATGAGAGTTGCTTTAGTCATGGTGTCTCTTCACAGCAATAGAAACACTAAGACACTAGTCTTGAATTCTCTACATAATCATCCATGATGTTGAATTTCTGATCCTCCTGCCTCCACCTCTCAAATGTTGGAATTGTAGGTGTGTAACATCATGCCGTATTTATTCAGTGCTAAGGATCCATGGATTTTCATGGATGCTAGGCAAGCATTCGACCAACTGAGCTATCCCACCACCCCGGATCATTTGTGCACTGTGGCATAGTTGTGCCCTCCACGCACCGAGCATTTTTCTCAACTCCAAGTCCGAGTTTAATTTTTCCTTTATTTTCTCAATCCTTTGTCTTATCATAAGCTGTCTGATCTTCCCTCCTGGAATTTTGGAGGGAGAGCTACAAATCTTGGGAGAGAATGGTAAGAATTGGCTTTGAGTTTCTCTTGCACTGTGTGGGGATAAGTGAATTTATTTCTCTGAGCCCTGGAAACAATAGAACGCTCTCATTTTAGGCAAGCCAGTCTACCAATCTTATCATTTCATAAACTAGATTTATAGTGTTAAGTGTGACTGTTAGTAACCAACTGAATTGTTATATCAATATGTTATAAAGTCTTGATAACCCCAGCGGTACGGAGTAGATGTTGCTACCAGCAGAGAAAAAGACTTTGCCTACAATTAACAAGTATTAATAAAATCAGTCTCTGATTAAAAGGAATGTCTTTTCTCCATTAAGTAGCTACATTGAAAGATAAATATTTGCCTTCATTTTGACAGAAGTAAGAGTGTGTAGGGAAGGTGAGTGGCATTGATAGATCCAGATGCTTGGAGTAAACCCTTCCCCCAGATGCTTGGAGCAAACCCTTTCCCCAGATGCTTGGAGCAAACCCTTTCCCCAGATGCTTGGAGCAAACCCTTCTCCCAGATGCTTGGGCAAACCCTTCCTGTATGCCTTCCTGGAGCAGCTTCCCAATCTTTGAGTTACAGTCCTAGCTTCCAAAGCCTTGCTAGGTTCTGTGTTCCTCTGATGTTTAAGCACCTTTGTTGCATTGCTCCAGGATGGTACAGGACACTAGAAACACCTGCCTACACAAGAAATCTCAAGGAACTATCAGCCAGGTCCATGCTACAAAAAACCATGACCTGCTAACGACCATGGGTTCATCCAGGGCTGCTCTAGAAGTTGACATAAAGTGTAGCAACTGAGCTGTCCGCTGCAGCCATCCAGTTCTCCAGCATCCTGGAACTGATGATTGCTGACCTGCTGATCTTGCATGGGTCTTCCTTCCAACCTCTCTGCTGAACTTCCCAGAGAGGTGAACTTACCTCTCTATTTTGCTTTTTAGCTGTTACTTCAAGGTCAACGAAACTTGCCCAGACTACTCAACAGTTTGAGGGGTTGCTGGTGTACCTGACTCAAAGCATGATGTCTACATGTGCCCCGCTCCTCAAGGCACAGACTCACCAATCCCAGTGTTCCTGGACTCCCAGAAATTCCCTGGACCCCATGCACAGATCGCAGGTGGACATCTTTGAGAACTCTTGAAGACAGCAAACAATTCAAACCCAATAGCAGGGCCACTTTGGAGAAACAGGTATGTCAGTCCATGAGGATGTGGAATCTGCAGAAACAGCCTGATTAGAAAGTTCGGTGCTTAGCGAAGTTACAGTGGACATGGCTTCATCCTTTGGAGAAAATAAGATTTTCCTGGCGAGGCCAGCACACCCAGTCGGGCATCTAATTAGCAGTGTTTTTTCTATCCTTGGAAAAAGAGAGTCTGAGACCTGGATCTGGTCCCAGCTCTGCCACATTTACTCTGGGATCTCCTCTAAGCCACACAACCTCTCTGGGCCTTGGTTACCTGCTCTTAGAAAATGAAGGAGGAATTTGCATGGTGATCCCCAAGGTTCCTTTGAATGCTAAATTACTATGATTCTCTTGAGCTCTAGGGATGCCATTCTTTGCTCCCTTTCCCCTGTAGATACATATACTATCATGGAGAATGCAAACAATTTTTTTTTTTTTTTTTTTTTTTTTTTTGGTTTTTTTTCGAGACAGGGTTTCTCTGTGTAGCTTTGCGCCTTTCCTGGAATTCACTTGGTAGTCCAGGCTGGCCTCGAACTCACAGAGATCCGCCTGGCTCTGCCTCCCGAGTGCTGGGATTAAAGGCGTGCGCCACCACCGCCCGGCGCAAACAATTTTTTAATATGAATCCAAGCAAAATGTAATAAAGAAGGTAAATTTGCTCCCCCACATTTGCATAATGTATTCTCAAGCCAAGCAGAAATGGCATTTGTATTATTTGTGGTTTTGAATTATCTGCACCACCGCACCCCTGCATGTGTGCAGATAATTCGGAGTTGACTCTATAGGAGGAAGATACACAGTTGTCACGTGTGTGGATCACATCACAGTAGCATCAGAGTTTGGGCTAATATGATTATCTCAGTTGGCAGGACCTGAGGAAGAGCCTAAATCAGTTTTATATAGAGGAAAATTTCTTTTCAGATGTCCCTAATTATACTTTTTATCAAAGGGGAAAAGCGGGGTAAGAAAAGGCATGTTAACCAAACATCAACTTCTGGCCTCTACTTGCACATGCGTACACACATACACACAGAAAATGCGTATTAACTAAATTGTGAACCAGTAGACATTTGCCTTCCTGGTTCTGGCCTGTGATCAGAGCAACCCTGGAAGGGGAGTAAAGTATCTTGTCATGTTATTGAGATGGACGGGCATTTGCATCACCTGTGATAGGGGAAGCGAGGTCTGTAGTCAGTGATGGCACCGTGCCAGTTCCCCACAGCACCTCAGCATTGGCATCCCAAGCAGCAGCTCATGGGAGAGCTGTGAAGTCGTGATTTGATGCTGACGCTTTAATAAAGTTAAAAGACTCAGAGCTTGTCTGTGAACGGATACCGGGAAATACGTGATTTGGAATGCAACCCGGAAGAAAGCCTGGAGCCTGTACAAATGTTCCATTCACTCAGCTTCAGGAACGTGAGCAGGTCCTTGTGGTGAAGGTCTCCAAGGCTGCTGAGGTAGAACCAAGAAGCTGTCTTGGGCTGGAAAGGGGTGGTTTTAGGACAAATACAGCAAATTACTACTCGACAAAGCAGGCAGAAAAGAAATGAAACATGTCACCCCTGAAGGCGACACAGACTGGAAATAGAAATAGGTTCAAAAATTGCTTAGAAATCTACAACACAGGTTCGCTCTGTAATAGGAAAGCCAGGCATCCTTGGTATGTGACAGAGAACAGCTGTGCTGGCCTGCAAAGCATCCTGTTTGCTGCTCTTAGAACTGTTGCTACTGCTGCGGTTGTTGGCTTTTGGAGTGTAAAGTACTTACAAAGAACTCTCCATGCGTTATCATCATTAACCTTCACAAGCACACTGCACTATACGCAATTATCCCCATTTTAGGAAACAGGGAACAGTATTGACAAACCTGCACATTTGTGCTCAGTTAACACGATCTTTCTTGATATGATGTCATCCTCTGGCACCTCCCTTCCCCCACGCTGCCACTCCCCAACTCCTGTCACAACCTGTTTTTAATGGTTAATTTTGTTAATTTGAATGGGTTTAGAATCACCATGGAAACGCTTCAGGGTGTGTCTATGAGACACCAGAAAGGTTTAGCTAAAGAGAGAAGACTCTTCCCTGAACAAGGAGGGCACCACGTCACGGGATGGGACCCCAGACGGAATAGAAGGTGAACACAAGCTGGCCATGAGCATTCCCCCACCTGCTGTTTTCTGACGACATGCACATTGGGACCAGCTGCCTTGTGTTCCTCTTGTTGCCGTGAGTTTCCCTCCAAGCTGGACTGTCGACCCAGACTGAGTCAACGCAAGCCTTCCTGAAGCCACCTCTGACGGCTACTCTGTCACAGCGCCAAGAAAAGGAACCGATATCACAGCCCAAGGTAGGGCAGCCACACCCTCTCAGAATCCCAAAGTCTGAAGAAGGGTGAGTGTGGTGGTATTTTACTTGTACTGAAATGTGATTTTAATTGTATGTTAATAAATAAAGTTGTCAAGAGGTCAGAGCTAAGAGCCTCACCCTTCCTGATTCAGGGATCCTCTTCAGCCAAGAGAGCTCTCCGAAAAGAGGACCTACTTCCTGTGTGCATGTTTTTAAAGTCTTCCTGTTCTGCCTTCTCATTGGTTGTAAACCCAAACATGTGACTGCCTCGTCACTGCCTGAATGTACCGCCCTCCAGGTCCTTAAAGGCGTGCGCCACCGCCACCACACACTTGCTATGGCTCTAATAGCTCTGACCCCCAGACAACTTTATTTATTAACATACAATTAAAATCACATTTCAGTATAAGTAAAATACCACCACAGGTGAGGGCACAGGGAACACTGAGACCCTTGTGAGACCGTGTCCCCGGAGAAACTGGAACCCTTACTCATGGGCAGCTGTGGGAAATGGTTCAGTGGTCCCTGAAAACATTGCCCTCCGACCCAACAATTCTACTGCTAGACATATATCCCAAGGAACTGAAAGCAGACTCAGATAACACTAACATCCTTGGTGATAATACTGACAATTACCTCAAGGGAACAATGGCTCAGATGTAGTCTGGAGAAATGGCTCAGTGGTTAAAAGCGCTTGCTGGATCTGGGTTGAATTCCCAGCACCTATATGGTAGCTCACAACTAACTATAACTCCAGTTCCAGGGTTTCTGATGCTCTCTTCTGGGCTCCATGAACCCCAGGCCTATCATGATGCATAGACACAGATGCAGGCAAAACATCCACACATACAAAATAAGTAAAAAAAAAATTAAAATGACTCAAATGTCCATCAAGAGATGGATGAATAAACACATTGAAATGTATCTACACAATGTAATATTATTCAACTATAAAAAGGAATGATTCCAGTTATATACTACACCATGGGCAAGTCTTGAAGACATAATACCAAGAGAAATAAGCCAGACACAAAAGGCAGAAATAGGATAATTCTAGCTATATAAAATCTCTACAATAGACAAATCCACCGGGACAGAAAGGAAGTTAGAAATTATCAGAAGCTGGAAAGAGACGGTTACAGATTTTTTACTGCTTGCTAATGTCAGACTCTCTGGGCACCTCAACCACAGTCCGTGACTTTAGCCATAGTGCCCCTGTGGACCATCAGAAAACGAAGTGTGGGCCATGGAGACACTTGTCCCATCTTCATCTTCTAGAATGCAGACATTCCAGTAGCATAGAAAGGAGTTCATTCATTCATCCAACCAGACTAGATGATCAGACAACAGCCAATTATTACTTTTTAGCAGTTACTGGATGTGCAACACAGTATGAAATAATGAGAGAAGGAAAGGGAGTGAAGAAAAAGCGGGAGCCTGCACTCCATAACTGTGCAGTCCACTAAGGGACGCGTACTGTGATGGTGAACATTGATTGTCAACTTGACAAGGCTCACAATCACTTCAGGAACAAGCTTCTGAGCGTGCTTAGACACCAGGTTAAGATAACTGAGGTGAGGAGACCAACCTTAATTGTGTGGGGGACCATTCTATGGGCCATGACTCGGGGCTGAGTTAAAAGGGGAACGCGAGCCAAGCACCCGCAGCTACCACTCCCTGCTTCCTGACTCCAGATGTAGTGCAACCAGCTGCCTCGGGTCGCTGTCGCCATGGCTCCCCCACCATGATTGAACTGTACCCTTGAACAGTAAATAAATCCCTCCTCCCTTAAGATGGCTCTTGTAAGGGTATTTTGTCACAGCACACAAATGGATACAAGTACCATGTGGATAAAATGTTGAAAAACTAGACAGCAGAGCCAGTTTTGCAAGCCAAAGCCTCTGAGGGGAAAGGAATTGAATGAAAAGAAAGATCCATGTGTTATAGATTGGCTTAAGCAATAAAAGTTCATCTTCGTGGACAGTCTGGGACTGAGAGAGGAGATTATTTCTACCTGACTTTTCAGCTCAACAACTTTAATTACTGTCCCCAGATCTACTACTAAGATTGAACCCTTCTGTTATATCCAACACCCGACTCCTACCACCTACTGCAACATTTCTGCTTGTTACACCACTTGTCTTTAGTCCACTGGGTTTTATGTGAAATATTTGATCTATTTAGGAGTGGTGTCCAGGCAGCATCTAAATAAAAATAAAAAATAACCAAAAAAAAAATCAACTGCCTTTGGTTAAGCCCACGCTAGTTTTTGTGGTCAGATGTCTGACTAATGCAGATCCTGGCAAGAGGAGCCATCCAGGGTCTCATTCTTTATTTAATAAAGAGAAGTTATCAGAGCTGGTGAAAGGAGCCCATCACGGGGCACTCTCAAACCTAGACACCACTTTCAGCTGTCATGTGGGGCGAGCCTGGCTTATCAGCTTGAACCATTCAGCAATCAGCGATGCTAATCTCAAAAGTTTATCTTGAATGTAGCCTCGTATGCTCTGCCCTTGCACTTGGACCCAGGGAGAAGAAACAGCAGTTAGATCTGACGTACAATTCTGTGTTCTTTGGCCTGGTTGGCTGACACTGTTGCTGACTTATGAAAGGTTCCCCAGAGTTGTCTTCCTTGGCTCTCACTGTGGGATGTGGCTCTCCTCCAATGACTAGCAACAGTGGGGGCTAAGGAAATATAACCAGTGATTGCTGCATTAGGAAAGGGGAGGGTTCTGAGAATAAAAATTCCTGATAAAATTGAAGGTGGCCCTTTTTTCCTGCCATGCAGGTGAACGGCAGGCTTAAAAGATGAAGGTCGCCTGGGGCTGGAGAGATTGCCCAGTGGTTAGAGCACTGACTGCTCTTCTAGAGGACACAGGTTCAACTCCCAGAACCCACATGGATGCTCACACCTGTCTGTAACTCCACTTCCAGGGCTTCTGACACCCTCACACAGAAATACATGCAGGCAAAACACCAATGACCATGAAAAAAAAAAAAAAAAAAAAGAAAGAAAAGAAAAGACAAAGGCCACCAAGCTAAGAATGTAGAGTATGCATGCAGGGGGAGACTGGACCTGTGCTGATATCAGATACTGGTTACCCCCTCCTCTTCCTTCTAGTCACTTGTATTGGGGTGTACTGTAATGTAATGAGATAAAACAGAAAAGTTGCCTCACAAGGGTACAGCTTAGGTGAGCGAGCCTAGATCAAGGAAGACAACATGACCAGCACCCCAGTGTTTTTTCTCTCATGGTTCTGACCTCTAGAAGGAGCTCTTCATGCTCTTGACACCATTGGGTGATTTGGCCTGATTTTGTACCTAGTAAACAGAGTTGTGTGGTGCGTATTGTTTCGAGTCTTCGTTTGCTTAGTTCTGAAGTTCTTCTATATTACTACGGATAGATGTTCATTCAGTTTCTGTCTCACACAAATCTCACATGTGTGCATGTATTTTATATGTATCTGTTCCACCAATGATGAGTGTTCAGTTTTGGGTTACTATCAATCAACATTTTACATGGTCCAATCTCTCTCTCTCTCTCTCCACACACACACACACACACACACACACACACACACACACACACACACACACACACACTTTCATTGGGTCTACATCTGGGAGTGCAATTGCTGGGTCAGAGCACAGCTACTTGCTGAGTTGAGTTGACAAGCAGTTTTTCTAAATAGTTACATCAGATATCTTTAGGTTGGAAAAGAAAGCATTTGTTTAAGCTACTATAAGCTTCTTGGTGTTCAAAAACAATTTTATTTTTCTGAGACAGATTCTCCCTATGACGCTCTGGCTGTTTTAGAACTCACTCTGTAGAGCAGGCTGGCCTCAGACTCACAGAGATCCACCTACCTCTGCCTCTTGAGTGCTGGGATTAAAGGCAGACACCACTAAGTCCAGTAGTGTTTGAAAATATTTTTACAATTAGTTTAAACATACACAATCGTAAGATAAGACTGACAAACAGTAGACAATGTTTTTATAGTTTGACACCTGAAACCATTTGAAATGTTTCATGCATGTTGACCTATTTGACACTTAAAGTGGGCAGGCACACGCCTTCAATTCCAGTGCTTGGGAAGCAGAGGCAGGCAAATCTCTGTTAAGAACCTGGTGGTCTACATAGTGTGTTCCAGGACAGCCAAGGTTGCATAATAAGACTCTGTTTCAAACAAACAAACAAACAAACAAACAAGCAAGCCAATGACTTACAATGATCCTAAAAGGCAAGTATTAGTGACTTGTCCCTTCCATAGCAAAGAAACCTAGGTTAAGGGAGATCAAACAGGCTATGATCACACAGGTAAGAAACAAAGGAGCCAGAACATAAATGACTCTCTACCTGTAGAATCTCTGCTCTTAATCAGCTCACTGTTAGCAAGACCATGCCAGCTCCACCCCACCTCGGGGTCCTTCTGCCTGGTTTCTAATTCTCTCCTCATTGATATCAGCCTGCTAGGTTTCTGTACATATCTGAGTGTGAAATTTCAAATACTACATATTTCAAGTACAAAATATAAATTCAGTTTATCATGATCCTCCAGGCTACTTCCTACACTACCAAATTGCCTAATGCAGTAACTTTAAAATTTTTTTTTTTTTTCGAGACAGGGTTTCTCTGTGTAGCTTTGCGCCTGTCCTGGAACTCACTTGGTAGCCCAAGCTGGCCTCGAACTCACAGAGATCCGCCTGGCTCTGCCTCCGGAGTGCTGGGATTAAAGGCGTGTGCCACCACCGCCCGGCTCTAAAATTTTTTTAAATGTTAAGTTGGTATTCCTTGTACATAGTGATGGATTTCACAATGATGCTTTTGTTTAATTACATCATGTACTTTGTCTGAATGACTGTCATTCAAAAAACAAGTAACAACAAATATTGAAGAGGATATAGGGGAAAGAAACTTTGAGCCTTTATATGTAGTTGTCAGGAATGTAAGCTAGTGTAGCTACCATGGAAATCAGAATGGAAGGTCTTTAAAAACTAAAACTAGAGCTACCGTATAAGTCAGCTACCCCACTTCTGGAATAGGCCCGATGGCATCTAAGTCCACACACAATGGCTGTTCTTGCACTTCCATGTGTATTGTGGCTTCATTCAAAGCAACCCTGTTATGGGATCAGCCTACGTGTCCATCAACAGATGAATGGATAAAGAAATGCAGTGTATAATTAAGGTGAAGTTTATTGAGTCATAAGGAGAATAAAATTATATAATTTGTAGGGAAATGGATGCAGATGGAAGCGATCATATTTCAGCAAAATAAGCCAGACTCAGAAAATAGCTTCTCTATTCCTACTATTATCTAGAATAGTATATTTCTTGTCTCCCAACATACTGAGTGTTTTTTTAAAACCCTGTTTATTTGGGGGCAATAGTTTCATAAGTGGTTTGTGTTTCTGTATGTTACAGTCAGCACTGTTTACCAAACCTGGTGGTCCAAGGATGCTACTAGATCAGCACAAAGAGAAGCGTTTGGAAACAAAGGAGCAGCTGTGGGCTGGTGCAGATCTAGGAGGAAGAAGTGACCAGAAACCGAGGACCATAACAGGAGCCAGTCCTGCAGAAAAGTTCCAAAAGTAGTGAACAAATGCAGGAGGGAAATTTTTCACTTATTTCAAAAGCTCCAAGAAGACAAAGGACGTTGGGCATGAGAAGTACTCCTTTCAGGTTTTCAGGTAACCCAGAAGTTCAGTTTCTACTGGACCTCTTGGTACAAGTTGGGATTGAAAAGCAGAACAGAGACGGGCGGTGGTGGCACACACCTTTAATCCCAGCACTTGGGAGGCAGAGGCAGGTGGATCTCTGTGAGTTCAAGGCCAGCCTGGTCTACAGAGTGAGTTCCAGGACAGCCAGAGCTGATACACAGAGAAACCCAATTTCGAAAAACCCAAAAAAGAAAAAAGAAAAGCGGAACAGGTTTTGAGTTTTCAAGTAGTAGAAGAAATTATGGAAACGGTACAAAGTGGACATCAATTGATTTATTTACCCAGAAACCATTTCCTTTCCCCTTTCTGGTCACAAACAGCTGGTGTATTAACCATTTGGTCCCCAGATGATGATACTATTGAGAAGTGATTACAGATCATGATAGTAAAACTTTACTTCAGTGGATTCATACTGAGATGACATTATTGGGAGACAATGAAAACTGGGAGGTGGAACTTGTTTGGGGGTAGTAGGCACTGGGAGTGTACTTTGCTTTGGAAGGGTGTATTTGGCCCCCTTCGTTCCTCTTCATTTCTCTCTCCAGTTTCTGATGATCCTTAGGTGAGCAGCATTTCCAGTTCTTCCCAGCAATGATGGTGTGTGGTGTGTGTGTGTGTGTGTGTGTGTGTGTGTGTGTGTGTGTGTGTGTGGGGCATACAAACTTGCACATACACAGGGGCCAAAGGAGGGTCTTGGGTAGCCTCTATCACCCTTACCTTACTCCTTTAAGATAGGATCTCTCATGGAACCTGAACCGAACTGGTTTTTTGCTATATTGATGGCCACCAATCACCAACAACCCTCCCGCGTCCGTCCCCCACTCTCTCTATCCCCAGTGCTGAGGTTACAGGCTTGTGGGATCACACTTGACCTTTATATAGGTGCTGGGGATTGAACTCGGGTCCCTGTGCTTGCAAGGTAAGTGCCTTGCTCACCCAGCCCTCCTTCCAGCCCTGCTCAGGCCACAGAGCGCCTTCCGGGTATCTGGAAGCTGATGAGGTTGATGAGCCTGGTTGTCTGCTCCCTGCTCAGCTTGTTAGCTCAGGTCTCTACACTCTGTAGGGCGGAGTCTATACAACACGACAGGCGAAGCCAGAAAGAGGAGTAGAGGGAGGGAAGGCGACTGGCTCTGGACTCAGGTCCACAGGCGTCAGGGGAAGGATCTCCCCCTTCTGGAGGTGGGCAGTGTGCTTCTGTGGGTCAGGCTGGCACCAGCCCATTTCACTTACGCCATTTCTTGGAAATCTCTTATTCTTGATCGTCTCCTGTGGCCTTTGTCATAATTGTACTCTTCGCCTTCCCTTCCTTCTTATTTGATTTCTTTCTATTTCTGCTCAAAGACATAAAGGGGAACTTAAGATATCATCACTGATTGCTTGATATTTAATTGTATTTTGTTTTCCAGACAAGGTCTCATTAAAAACTATACATGTTTGCATATAAAGAGATAGAAACAACATGAGCAACCACTTTCCTCTCAATGTTAATAGAAATTTTTCAGGAAAATACTTTTCCTAGTAAGATTTATCTTTTTTTTTCCTTCTTCTTTTTTTTTATTTTTTATTTCAGGCTGGTGAGGTGCCTCAGTGGGTAAGGGAACTTACCCCCAAGCCTGATGACCTGAGTCCAATATCTGGATCCCACAGGCCGGAAGGAGAGAGCCAGCTCTCAGTAGTGTAAGGTAATCCTGTGGTCTCTTCCCACTGCAATAAAATGTTTAAAGACTCCCCTGGATAGTTAGCTACATGCATGTGTAAGTAGTGACAAATCAAAAGTGTCTGGAAGTGAAGAAATATTTCGATATATGTTAGAGGATAACATAGAATAGCATATACCCTGTGTATGTGTGTGTGTGTGTGTGTGTGTGTGTGTGTGTGTGTGTGTGTGTGTGGCTTTCTCAAAAGCCAGGACTTAAGTCAGTCACTTCTTTGCATGTCCGCTTTCCTCCCACTTCTCTGCCATCTTCTCTCTCTCTTAAATTTTTTTGAAGGTCTATTGTGCACCAGTGTTTTCGATTCTGAAACATCAGACTTCCCTTGAAGTCACAGCCGCCCTCGTTCCTTATTATTTGAACTATTCGCTAAGGGAATAGTTTTTAATTTCATTGCTGGAATTTTCCTTAGCCTCTGATTTCCTGAGGGGATTGTGTGTTAAGCAAGAAAAAAATGTCCGTTCTCTTCCCCCTTCATCTTGATGTTTGAGGGCTGATATACATCATTGAAGTTTGCTATTAGCACTAAGTTAGTTAATTATGGCAAGCACAGAGTCTACATGCTGTGATGATGGAAGAGAAAAAGAATAGCCCATCAGTCAGAGGGACTTCTAAATGATGTTGCCGTGATCTAGGGATATTGAAATTGATGGGTCTCAGCCCATCAACCAACCAAATACAGGCAGCATCCATCTCTTGCTGAGACACAGGGAGCGCTGTTTTAAACATGCTGAAGCCCACAGGTTTTGGTCTGGCTCCACCAAGCTACATTTGCACAGAGAATTATTTCCAAGTTTCATCTTCTGCTTCCCGCATCTCTCACGAGAACGAACCTCTCCACATTCACTGTTCAGTGTGTTGTGTCCTGTCGGGAGTGGTCCATTGCTGACAACTTTAGCTCTGAACCATGAGGCATCAACATTTGGGTTGGGAGTACATTACCAAATGTCTACCTCCACATGGGACCACTAAAGGAGCCCAGTCATTATCTTGTAAATCTTGGGATACCAGAGGATCTAATAGCAGGGGCTGTTGTAGTCTCTGTTGTGAAGTAAGTCACTTTCCTGTGGCTAGAAAGCACCCACGTAGGCAGGGGACTGGAAACGGGTGCCTGCCGGGCTTAAGCCTCATTGAGCTCCATAGAGGTCAGAGGCTGCTGTGAATTGCTAGGCATGACTATCAGCAAGCCCTGGAAACATGTCAGAAGAAGATGGACAACCTACTCTCCAATAGGCCTTCTTATCACAACCCCTTCCTCAAGGTTCAAATCTGAAGCATCACTCACAAGCTCATGTTCCCAGCATAAAGAACTATTTTAAAGGCCGTGGAGCCCTTAGGTGGTGGGGTGTGGTGGGCAGAAGTGGGTCTCTAGAGGCACGTCTTTGAAAGGGAAGCCTGGCCCTCCTTCCTGGTTCACGACAAGTGAATAGGCATGGCCTCACCCTCCCACCTCCATGGACAGACCCACTGTACCCTGCCTTCCCCACCATGATGGACTAAAACCCCCAGGAAACCGTAAGTCAAATTAAATCTTTCCTCTAGCCGGTTACTGTTACCATCTGGCATTTTAGTCTCAGGGAAGCTGAACATAACAAAGAACACTCCCATCTCCCTCCCGATTCCTCCTGTTGCTTCTTTCTCTCAGTTCCATGCAAATGAGCACACGTGCAACTTCCTTAATTCTGCAAGAAGTCTTGATCTGAACCCCAGTGCTGCCACAGAGAGAGATCTATCATTCCAAATGCCTGCAATCCAGCAGTATGGAAGACCATAATGGTCATTTTCCAATCAGAAAACCACTTTCAGGGTCTCTTTACCAACCTGCTCCAAGCGTTGCCCTCCATCTTGAAGCATGTCTTTGACTCTATCTCTGTAGCACTTTGTCTCTTTAATAAGAATGTTGGCACCCCTGAGCAGTTAATTTTTCCAGGCTGACCTCTTCCAGCAATGGGTCTGTCTTAAAATTACTGCACATCACTTTCTCTGAACAGAACTGAATAGTAAAGAACCCAGGGAGGCTTTAGACTGAGCAGGATGACAGTATTTCATCTGCGAAGACAGAGTGTTAAAATGTTCTATGGTTGTGCACCAGGCAAATTTCTTTCCCCTCACACCTTTGTGAAGCCCAGAGCTGTGTCTAACAGGCTTTCAGTGCCACGTTTAGCACATATTTACACTCTCACAGCTCCTAGACAGGAACCTCATCTCATCTCAAAACAAAATCAGCCGGATCGGACCACCTTATCCATCTGAACCTATTAAATCTTATTTATTTCCCAGCTGCTCACGTTTCCCAGGTAATGGTTATTTATGTAGGAATTTGGTAAATGTCAGACAAACCCAGTGATGCTTGTCTGGACTCCTATTTGCAAAGGATAGCAGCCAGAGAGTATGAGTGCTTCCCCCACCTTTTGTCCTAAGACTATCTTATTGGAGTTTTTAAACAACAAGGCCACACAGTGTCTGGTCTTTAGTGACATAAGGAGACTGAATGCTACCCTGAGTGTTTCAGGAAATAAAAATGTCACATCAACACTATAAACCGTTTGTTCCACAAACTCAAGATGCAAACGCATTCACCGTGGGTGTTTCTGTTTTGTTTTTTTTAAAATGTGTCCTGTCATTATTTGCACCACAGCAAAAGTTTGCCGTGCATCTATTGGCAGAGGTCAACCCTAGTACCTCAGATCGTTGATGTATGCCAAAGGTGTAATGCCCGGGTTGGGGGGTGGGGGAGTGTTGACAATGGTGGAGCCAGTCTTTCCACAGAAGCACTTTACATCATACCATTTCCTGGGAGCCAGGTTGAAGGTGTTTCTCCTTCTTTTTAATATATACAAATATTTAATCCAACAAATACAGAGGAAACATCTTCCAGAACAGATCATGTATCAAGCTCTGCTTCTCATGTCTGCTGGCTGGTGGCTACTTGGCTTCTTGCTCTGGGCGTCTCCCCCATTCTTTCCTCCTTCTTCTTTCAGTTCTCTCCTGAGCCTAGATTTCTCCTCCTATTTATTCTCTCTGCTTGCCAGACCCACCTATCCTTTCTCCTGCCTGTCTATTCAGCTCTTTATTAGACAATCAGGTGCCTTAGGCAGGCAAAGTAAAACAGATGCAACACATCTTTACATAATTAAACACACATCATTACATCAATAAACAGATGAAGCATAAACAAATGCAACACATCTTTACACAGTTAAAATAATGTTCTAAAACACAGGACTCTCTGTGCTGGAAAGGTGTGGTGGTCTGAATGAGAATGGCCCCCATAGGCTCTTGTGTGTGGATGCTTGGTCCCCAGTGGAAATGTTTGGGAAGGACTGGGGGGTGGGCTTTAGGGTTTCAGAAGCCGTATCATTCCCAATTAGCTCTCTCTGCCTCATGCTTGTGGGTGAGATGTGAGCTCTAAGCTATTGCTCCAGTGCCATGCCTGCTTACTGCCATGTTCATGGACTCTAACTCTTTAGAACAGTGAGCCCAAATGAAATTATTTCTTTTATAAGTTGCCTTGGTTATGATGTTTTATGACAGCAATAGAAAAATAACTAAGACAGAAGACCAAGTGAGAAGTTTTAACCCTCAGGCTCTGCTCCAACCAGCACTGTTGTCACAGCCAAGCTGCTCATCTCATGAAAAAAAAATCAACATATATGGCCAGAGATATAGTTCTTTGGAAGAATGCTTGCCCAGCATGTGTGAGGCCTCACACTTGATGCTCAACACTGAAAGAAGAAACTATACATGCAGCCTGGATTATTATATGTCCAATGAGCAGCATTAGGCTAGCATTACATATTTAGTGAATGGCAAACCTGTCTTCTACTTCTTCCAATGTCTTGTGTCCTACAATTCATGGAATCATAGAACAATTATGAAGTTTGGAGTCTAAGAGACCTGGTTTCAAATTCTGAGTCTCCCACATATAAGACATGTTTGCTAGTGTCTCTAAGTCTCAGTTTTTAGATCATGAAAAGACTCAGGTTACAGTATGGTTGGGGATATGAGATAGATAACCTGTGTAGAGGAAGCCACTTAGAAATGGGAATTGTCTTTTCTTACCTACTCTTTTTTTCTATGAAAAAACCACCATATATAAATAGGTGAATAATAACTTCAAATGTTAACAATTATAAGAAAATATTACAGTTAGAAAAAAATGTTTCCCATCTACATTAGAGTAAGAAAATCTACATTTATGACCCAGGTTTATAATTTTTAGTAAAGGCAAGTGCTCCTTGATGGTAGATGTTTGCAATAAGTGGTTAATTTCCCCCATGAGTACAGGAGGAATATGGCCTGGTTTCCAAAAAGGAATCGAGACTCTTCTGAGACCAATTGTACTAAGAAAAGTCCCAGAGGTTGGGTGTGTGCATCTACATCCTTCAGAAGCTGGTAGTTAGTGAAGTAAGACAGACTCATGAAGTGAACGTCTTTAGCCCGTGACATGGGGTAACGCTTCGCTTAGGAAATGGCCGACCTTTCACTTACTGCTCCTTGGCGAAGTGTTTTTCATAGGAAATGCAAGAACACTCTAGTGAAATAAGTTTAGAAAACTGCAGTTGAACAGAATATATACCTCTGCCTTCGTCAATCTACATTATGACTCAACAGGACCCAGAATGCAGTGTGCACATTCCCAAAGTAATTTGGCTAAGGAATTTGAAAATTACATTTATTTATTGACTGATTTAGTTATATTTGTGTGTATTGTGTGGTGGGGTGTGTGTGTGTGTGTGTGTGTGTGTGTGTGTGTGTGTGTGTGTGTGTATGTGTGCATGCAACTGGGCAAATGAGGAGGTCAGAGGCCAGCTTACAAGACTGAGTTCTCTTCTTCAACTGTGTGAGTTATGGGGATAAAACTCAGGTAATCAGGCGTGGCAGCAAGGACCTTTGTCTGATGAGCCATTTTGATGGCCCAGGAAAAATGTTTTTTCTCCTAGCTGAACCTGGAACTGACATGGGACTCA